AGAACAAGCTTGTTCTATATGAAATTTAATGCTACAGCAGAATGAAGTAACACTGAAGATAAGTGCACGACCACAATTGAGCCTAAAATTTATGTTGTTAAGTGAGAAATTTATTGAGTTATTTTACAATTTTTCTTGCCACATTTGTTAAGTGAAAAAAAATTTTTTTTAATCCCCCCCCCCCCTCCGGTCAAAGGTTTACCAATCTGAAAATCTGGTCATCTTAGTCTTACCTAATTGGAGTAATAAAACATCTGCAAGAAAACAACCAAACTCAGATAACACCAAGGACCCCTTAAGACTAGTGATGGATTCCTTACATTGCTTTGCTTCCTGATAATCAGTTCATCTGCATCATTCCTTATAAACCTCCATTCTTTCCAAATTGGCCTTTCAAAGTATGAGACTCCAATTTGTTCTATCAGGGATACTCTCAAAGCCAGCATCTGGGAGAAGGGCAGTGTGCAGGGTCAGAAAGATGGAAACCACATCAGGCCTTTGTGACACAAGCACACACATTGATCTTGCATTATTTTGCATGCACCCATAAAAGGGGGAAGCTCACAGCACAACAGTGCCACACTACTTAGCCATTTTGACGAAAGCAGCAATCCTGTAACTATCCAGAACCACCGCATCTTTGATCGTATTCTGTTCCAAACAATAAAATTAGAAGCTCCTCAAAAAAAAAAAGTCAGATATTTAAAAAGTATAACTTAGAAAGTTCCAGCAATAATGTCCATGATTTAATACACGTTGGTGGCTCTTAATGAACACCTTATAGCAACTTGAAGTATGTTTTATAGAGGTACATAAAGTGGGAGTCTTAATCAGTAAAAGCTCATTAAATCTGTTAATTAAGGAAATATTTCTCTGCCAAACTGAGAACACTGGTGCAAGAAGATAGCTAATCTTGAAGCCTGATTTGTCTTGCCTCCTTTTCCAGAGTACAAAGGATGTTTTTGTTCAGAGGGAGGCAGGGCCAGCTTCAATCTGTTATCACCATTTTTAAACAATAAACATAGGGCCTCACATGACTCACATCCTTCTGCCTAGGATTCTGCTAGCCATCAGAATAGACAAGTATCAGCAGAAGCTTTATGGATTGTCTAGCAATGCTTTGCCAGGAATAGTATGTATTATTGCACGCACTGATTTCTACACTACCTATTTTTCATAGGGCTCAAGGAGGTTTAGAATCCTATGTAATAAACAGAAGTGTTGTAAGGAGACCATTGGCACCCTGAACGCTCAGAATAAAAACCTGTTTTTAAGGTCCTTTTTAAAAATTGGGTCATCAGGACAGCCATCAAGAAGCCCTCATGGAATGGGAATCCTCAAATCCTTTCTATATGGGTATGATCTTGTGAGATCTATATGTGTGGGGGACCAGAGCTGTCATGTCACTAAATGCTGGGACCAAGGCATGTTGAGACCCAACCCAGGTAGAGCGCCTCCCTTCCGAGTCTAGGATAATTTGCCATGGCCAATTCACTGAAGCCAACTCACCATAGCCAATTTGCCACAGCCAACTTGCTGCACCTAACTCATCATGGTGAACTCACTGCAGGATAACTGGCCACAGGACAAGAATTACATAATATTTAAGAAGTGGTGGAATAGAATAATTAAAGAAAGGATGTAAAAGGAGGGACAAAATGAAATGTGAATGAAAAAATAATATTTTTTTATAATTATTTTAAATTAAATTGAATTGTTGAATTGTCCCACAGTAAATTGTCCCAGAGTGAGTTGGCCACATTGAGTTACTCTATTCTGCTCCCCTCCTGCCTTTTCCTATGTGCAGGAAAAGACGTCTCAGACTCTGGAAATTATTGCTCTTCCTACCTGTGCAGATTAGATCACATAAGTGATTAATTTAGGACCACCACTTAAAACTGTTAAATAAAATTACCAAGTCATTAACTTAATTCATTTAGATTCCCAATATACTTTAACCCACAATGTACAAGTGGAGCCCTTTTTCATACTTTCCACCTGTCCTGTTTTTCACAGTAACATTTTTCAGTTTTGTTTCAGGAAAAGTGCTATAATTCACCCAGAAAACAATTATAATCCTGTGCAAATTCTGCAAAATTGAAAATAAGGAGAGAAAACACATCATCATCCTTCACTCTTAATGTTATAAGTTTGACCATTTCCCCATATCAAAAGAAAATAATGCAGCTACCAGAAAATAAGTTTTATTTCAGGGAAATTGATGCTGTATTAATACAAAGACCAACAAAATAATACTGCTTTTTTCCAAAATGCCATTTACAAGGTTTTCTCTTTTCATAAAAGAAAATAGACAGAAAATACAGAGTATGAACCAAAACAGTGAGCATAACTTCTGGTAATTTTTGATCAGTAAAGATTTTTAAAAAAAAACAGAGGAAAAAGCAGGCATGGAATGTGTTTTGTGTTGGTTCACGTGAGGCTTTTTTATATGACTTGTAACAAGTACAAGTTATTATTTAATAGCACCATGGTGACATACACTTATTAAATGACAAATTAAAACAAAAATAAAAAACACACTAAAATAAATGCCAACACATTGTACAAAGGTAACATAAAATAGGTTATGATAAAAGGAGACATATTGTGTATAACTACAGCATTAATGAACATTCTTATTTTCCAATATGTGCTTTTTTCCATGCAGCATGAATAGTGTACACATATGACAATTCTGCAATAACTCAGCCATGTTTATTTCAGGATGAATTCAAGCCAGCACCACTTAGAATGAAACATCTAAGATGTTCCCTTCTAAGAATACATGATTTGTAATCAGCTGCCTACAGTAATGCAAATACGTCAAGCACCTTTTGTTGTAGTTTATGAGGTTTGTGTGACATAGTGAGGTTACCTGAAGGAAATACAGTACGGGTTAGCTTGCAATACCAAGGATATCACAAGCATTCCAGGTATTTTGTTACAGTGGTTGTGCATCATTTCCATGAATAGTCTTCTCGGATAGAAAAATCTAGTTTGTATGATGTGTATATTGGGTATCAGCACCAAGTTTAAAGTTGAAATTCTGATCGTACTTATTTAAGATAATGCATTATTTAAATATCTTGCCTAGGGAAAAGAAAGCCCTTGGGTAGTATATTACAGTGCTCATTTAATCATGTGATTTTAAAAAAATGCTTTGTGGATAATAGGCACAAGACTGAGAGGAAACTTTTTCAATCTATTCGTTTCTGTTCTTTTTTCTAAAATACCTAATACATGTAATAGTTCAAATTCATAAAATTGCAAAGAAAAGCAAGTGTTTTCTTTTTCATTTTTAACACAGATTGCTAATTTCTCCATATATTATTGCATTAAAAATAAATAAAATCTCTGTTTTTAATTTAGGAACTACAGCAAAATCATCAATATGCTAGAGTGCTAATAGGAATAAAAGTAACTCACATTTTGTGCCATTTAGTGCCATATATGATTTTTAAAGCACATCTTCTTTTTTTAAAAAATATATATTTAAAATTGAGATTATATAGACAATATAGTAATCATGATTGTTGGCATTGTAATCAAGGTTTTGGTAATAGAAATGTTGAGGTCTGTTCTTCAGTCTTATTCAGGACAGAAGGATGCAGAGGTCACTATTTGCAATTTTGGGTTTTCTGAAAAAGTAAATTACTGACCCCTTTAAAGCTTTCAAAACCAAAGTATATGATATGATACGTGAACAGAAGGGAATCCTTCATGATGGGAGTGAGGAAGGAAGGTTTTAATAGAGTTCAATCCAAAGTCTCATTTTAAGAGCTTCTCCAAGTTCCCCTAGGAGGTAGTTGTCCTCATTGCTTTCTTCCAATTTCTTTAGTTCTTCCTTTTTGTACAGAGGAATGCTAACTATTTCCAGTGTGTAAATACCAGCTGTGGGTTTTTTCTTAGCAACCTGAAGATAACTGAGTCCATCTTTCTGGTGTATCCGGAAGGTGCTGTTGTGATTACCAAAGGAGATAACATAGCGGTTGTGATTTGTGAGGGTCTGTATTGCAGGCATGAGATCTAATATATGTTCTTTATTGCCAAGGCCAGTTACGCTGAATCTCATCTTCAATGGAAGATCAATGTCCAAACTTTCCAAACTGATCTGTTAAACCACAAAACAAAGATAAGGGTAAAAGGGATAGGCAAACCTCAATATTTCTGTTTAGGCATTTTTTAAAACCATAGATCATTAATTATTCTAATTTTCCATCATTGCTGCTACCTGGCTGTAAAATGGTACCAAGACCAGAAACGGCATTTTGGAGCATGTATGGACATCTAATGGACATCTACCATTCTTCCAGAATATTTCATCCAACATGAATTTTACAGAAATAAGTCTAAATTATCATCTTTTGTGCTCTCATAATTTACTGGGTAATTTATTCAACAGCAAAATATAGAATTTGCATAGGACCTGATCAGAAATACTGATCAACACACAAGCTGAACAAGCTTCTTGGATGAGAAGTGAAACAAAAGGAAAAAATAGGAAAGTCAAGTTCCCTTTTGAAAAAGCATCTTTGGGACAATCATGACCTAGATGTTTGAGAATCTCCACAGACGCTGATCAACATACTTTAATCATTTCACCAAAGCAACCTTCCTCACACACAGGCCTTCAGATGTGTGAGATTTATGTTTTGTCAGCTAGTAGGAACAAAGCATACATGGTGTTAAATATCAATTAAACCAAGTGTTTATCTAGAGGAAGGTTAGCATGAGGTAATTCTCACTCCTCACTGTTCTTTCATTTTAATAAAACAGTTGTGGGGGAAGTGTGTGTGATGTCTACAAATATCTGATAAATTGGAAAGCCTATCACTATGAAGGTTTACATCATCTGTGATGACCTAATCAAATGGCACAAAATCTGACTTGGCATCATTTGTGTGATGACTTCTGCACACATTAAGACATTTATACCATTACCATAATCATAATTAGCCAAATTATATAAACTGCAGTGAACATTTGATCCATTGCATAAAATATCTATTCCATTATGCACTGAAATTTCATTGCAGTTATAATGATTAATGACTAATGGTGAGAATAACCGCAAAGCATGAAAAAAACAGTCAAGAATTGAAAGTAGAATTCAGTAGACCAGAACAAAATTATCAATTGGTTTATTTAAATTTCTGAGACTCACATGCTGTAATTCTAAAATGAATCTGAGTGGCTTATATCAAGTTTGATAAAGTAATCATATGAAGATTAATTTGAAACAGTTTTTTCAGGATTCTTCAATATTCTATAGTAACAATCTTTTTCTCTGATGATTGCAGATAAATTGCAACTCAGTCCAATTTCAATTATTTCAATTCAATTATTTTATTCTGTTTGTATATACAAAATCTCTTTGAAACTGGAAGGGCAGAACTACTGTGCATAATGATTTCACATTCTATATTAATGCAACGCAAACTCATGTAAAAAACTGCTATTGACAGAAAACAGTGGGCAAAAGAATATCACTCTTGATGTTAATAATGGAAATAATAGTTTCTTTTCAAAACTCCATAAGATTCTGACAAATTCAGTGGATGATATTGCTTAGATCTGGTTTTGGAAAACCAAGTACAAATCAGTTGGACAGTTTTTGCTTACCTCTCTAGGCTGAGATGGATTGAGGCTTCTTTTCTTCCTGCTGTCTTTTTGGGAGTATCCATTAATTTTACACTCGTAACATGCTTCTGGGGACAAAGCATTCTCTTCACCTTGATCCACTGGTAGATACTGGCCTTTACCAAATCCCATACCGGAGACACAGTGCCTGATAAATAATGTCATAATATTAGTACCCGGCAAAAGAAGCCTTTTTGTTACCAGGTTGCTAATTCATAAGAGAAAAGAGTAATGTTTTCAATCTTTTACTTTTCACCTTTTTTAGTAACTTAACTTCAGGGAGGGATTTATTCCTTTCTAAACTTTTTATGTATATTACATACATATTTAAACAAAACAAACAAAAGCAGGGACACTCACACAAATAGAACAAACATTTGTAAGACAAAGGAATAAATTTCTATTTCTTTCTTCAGAGTGGCAAGTCAATGATATATTTAAAAAGGTAATGTAAATGGAATTAAATATATATTTTATTGTCAAGATTCTCAATATATATTACTGCTATTTTGTATATAAAAATCAGAAATTGTATAGTGTCTTCATTCAAGGTGATGTGATATCAAAAATACATCACTGGATAATGATGATATATTCCATCATTAGCTTTGGAATTATGGTCATAAATTATGGCAGCCGTAAAGCAAGTCACCACATGATCTGACTCAACTTTATGTCCACACTCCAAATTTCCAGCCTGTGGTTGTTAAACAAATGAAGCAAAAGAACTACCTGACCACTCCCCTATATGCACATAAAGGACTTTGTGAGAGTCTTTTTTTTTTTTGACCCAGTGCTGCAGTTCCCCTCCTGTTTGCCAAAGAGACAAGCAGCATTTTTTTCTCTGAAGGAGACTGGCTGAAAAAGGTCTGTCCTGAAATCCAGTCTTAGATTTTGGGATGGACCTTTTTCAGCCTGCCCACAGGAACCAACCAGACAGCAACAGCTTGCGATCTTGTAGACTTTCTGGAAAAACCAGCAGGGAAGTTTGCCAATGGCAATCATATGATTGCAGGGCGCTTGGCAACCAGTGGTGGGATTCAAATATTTTTACTACCGGTTCTGTGGGCTTGACTTGGCGGACGTGGTGGGGAAGGATACTGTAAAATCTCCATTCCCTCCCCACTCCACCAGGGGAAGATTATTGCAAAATCCCCATTTCCTCTTGATCAGCTGGGACTCAGGAGGCAGAGAATACATGGGGGCGGAGCCAATCAGAGGTGGTATTTACCAGTCCTCTGAACTACTAAAAATTTCTGTCATTGGTTCTCGAGAACTGTCAGAACCTGCTGAATACCACTTCTGTTGGCAACCCATCCTAAGTGTGAATGAGTTACCAAATGCCCAGATCACAATCCTGTGTCCTCATGGGTGCTGCAACAACTGTAAGTTCAGGTGCTGCTTAAAAATCTCTTTGTTCAGCACCAAAGTAATTTTTAATGGTCACTGAAAGAATGGTCATTAAACAAGGACTCTCTGTAATTGCAAGCCAATTGATAAGCACCAAATTGTGATCAGATGACTGCGGGTATGCTGTCAGGGAAGCAACTTCCAGGGTCAGATCAAAATAATTCAACTCATGAAACAACGGTGGAGAAGAGACATAGGATACCACAGAAAATAAGATTATTGTTTCTTGCATAATTTATGCAGCTAAAGAACTCTACTGATTAAATCTACTCCTGCTGAAAAAGGCTATTCTGTCAGTGGTGGTTTTACTCTGGAACTGGTTCACATATTTAATTTTCATCCATCTGAATTATACTTTGTAAATTCTGTATAATTGTAATGTAAACACCATGGCTACCATCTTATTCAGTTTCATAAATATTTCATGTTTAAGCAACAGGTATATGATTTGTCTTACAAAAATGTAACTGGAATAGCATGAATTCAGTGTACATTGGAGAACAGAGGACCTGGACATATATTACACATACATTCCTTTTTTGTGAAGGAACAAAAATTATAGTTTCTATTAACTATTATAGTTTCTATTAACTGTTTTAAACATTCAATCTTTCCTGAAAGCATAATACAAAATCAGAGATCACAGATCAGAGATTTCACTAACAGGAAATATTAACTATTTATTAATGAACTAAGATTTGACTTCCAAGATAGTAGAAATTGCTTCATACTAAAATATGTTAGTTGCTCACAGTTTTGCAAAAGATGCAGGAAGAGTTTGCTACGATCAACTACTCACCCTTGCCCTGCTCTGTAATACCCTGGAGGGCAGCCACAGAGGTATCCGCCTTCAGTATTGGAACAGCCATAATTGCAGGGATTCTTAGTAGAAGAACATTCATTGACATCGTGGCATGCGCTATTGAGCTGATCATAAGAGAATCCAGAGGGACATGCACATTTGTAGCTTCCTAGAGTGTTGTAGCATGAAGCTGAACCACAAATGCTAGGATTTGTGCATTCATTTTCATCTGTTGGGCAATTAAAAGCATACTTTTTAAGTATACAGGTTTTATCAAGGGAGAGAACAGTGTGACAACAGTGACTAGTTTCTAAGGCTAATAAATGTATTTCCCGGTTTTCTTTTTTAAGATTGGCATACAGAAATAGGTGTTGTTTTAAAGAACATGGAATAACAAAATAAATATATTTCATTTTAATAGCAGGGGTTGGTATATCAATAGCAACATGAAGGATTAAATGATATAAAATAAACTAATTTGTTGTTTCTGTACACCATTTTTATTCTCTACTTTGTATCAATTCTAGCACTCTTTATGTAAAATGAGTTTCTTACCAACACACTGATTCCACTGATAATGCTGGATATATCCATGTGGGCAGCTGCATCTGTAGCCACCAAGAATATTCTGGCAGCCATGTTGGCATCTGTGATTTCCATCACACTCATCCACATCTGTAAATAAAGATATTAAAACAAAGAAAAAGATATAAGAATAAAGCAGTAAATAATTTGCTAAATTTTGTCTATATATGTTTAGAAAAACAATTCCATATTACTCATTGACATTTTCTTCTGAGCAAAAGATTGTTATTATTAAAGTTTTTATTAGTAGAAAAGTAGATTCAAGCTGTAAAAATCCTCTACAACCATTACAAGAAAATAATCCTTCAGTTTTCTCTTGCTTCTCACTGAAGGATAATTATGAATCAAAGGCCAGGAGGGCAGCCCTACCCTTAGCCATTCAGTATTCAGTGGGAGAAGCAGATGCTTTATTGATGGTGGGGATGGGATGGGAATAACAATTGCACATGGTTAGCTAAAAAGTTCAGTTTACTTGTTGGCTATTGAGAAAAGGACAAGACTCAGGTAAATGAAAGGATGGAAGATTTATGACATATTTTGTACATTTCAGGTACTCTTTTATTTTCTCTCTCTTATTATTCATTTCTTTGTTGAATTTGTAGGCCATCCCGTTCCAGAAGACTCTGGAAAGCTTTATGAAATTAAAATAGCAGTAAAATACAAAACAACTAAAGCAATCCATTCAGGAAGAAAAAACACTATGTTCCTCACGGTGCTCAGAACAACAGCAATGTGGATAAGCTCAGTTACAGTGACAATGGGTATGTTGTTAGAAGACCTAAAGGAACAAGTTAGGCATAGATTGTCATCAATTTATGTGATAGAGAAAATCTATCTATGTGGTAACTAGGGGCTAAAAACAACTTGATGGCACATAATCGGTCAAAAATTCAAAATTGTCCAATCTATATTTCTATAGCTCTGCCACACATACATGACAAAATTCCAATAACACTAAGAGTTAAAAGAGTTCTGGTGAATAATAAAGATGCCAAAAATCACATGATGTCTAACAGATACAAATATGATTATTAAGTAATGACTGGCAATTTCCAGAAATACCTCTTCAGTATGTAATTTATGACATTCACAGTTTTCACAACTTATTACCTTCACAGTTCAATCCAGTGGAATCTAAAGAGAAACCTCTTTGGCATTCACAGGCAAAACTTCCAGGAGTATTTTGACAGATTCCTTTAGATCCACAAAGTGAAGGCTGTGATCCACATTCATTGTTATCTACAAAATGGCATTTCATTTTTTCATAAATCAGATACCAAAAGAAAAATAAAGAATGCTATGTTCAAATTTTTTGCAGAATTGTATGCATAATTGATATTCTTAGTATCATAAAGACATGCTCTCAATTTCAAATATTATCAAGGCTTTTAGCTTCCATTATAATATATGAAAACTATTTGTACCTATTGCATACTATCAATGCAAGCAATATAGGAAAATTATGGTTTCACTTTGAGAATGTTTCACAATTTCCCTCCATATGAAAGAGGTTGCAAATAGCAATGAATATATGATAAAGATCAATAAATGGAAAGATATATGCCAAGTGGAATTGATCAAATTCTCATCTTAATCTTTTTCTTATTAAATCATATTAATCTGATTTTATTAATCTAGCAATCTTATTACTAGTCCGGTTTGTTGCTAAGGAGATCTGAGAAATGTTACATGTTTTTCATGAAACGAAAAACAACAACAACATTAACCTCTTACCTATACAGGCTGTATGATGTTGGGTGAAACCTGGTGGACATTTACATGTGAATCCCCCCAGAGTATTGACACAAAGGAATTGACAGTTATGTTGTTTACTTTGACACTCATCAAGATCTGAAAAAATAAAGTGTTTATTTCTTTTAAAATGAAGGCAACATAATTATTTAATCTAATATTTAATAACACCGCTGCAGCAATCAAAATTGCTTTTAAATGCAGTGAATTAGCTAAAAGGCTTTCTTTGATTCAACACAAAAAACAGCACAGTCTAAGTGCCACCCCTTATAAACATACATGTAGAATCACAATGGATATACTAAAAGGGTGGCGTTGTCCTACAATGGTATGGCACTCATTGCATCATTTGAGCCACCCCACCATAGATATCTGTTCCTTACCAATTTTGCCTAGAAAAATCCAATCTCTCTGGTTTTCTCATAAATTGTCCTTTTTTGGAATTCTCAAGATTCTAATTTTGTTAATATCCCATATTCTGTGTTGCCCTGTATGGTTTTCAGAGAAGAGGATGCTGGCAACTGGCCTGCCCTGCTGTCATTTGGGCAGATAGTGAGTTTGGTCAGGGTGATGGGAATGGCATCCAAAAAAGCATAAAAGATCAGGACTCCCTGAGCAATGCTTCCTTAAGGATTTGTGTATAGAGAAGCATCTTTAAAAACCCACAAAAATGCTCAGTAAGAATGGAATAATGGCAGTCTTTACACATTTGCCCATAGAACTGGAATATATAAACCAGGGGTGTCAAACTTGATTTCTTCGAGGGCCAGATCAGCATTGCAGTTCTCCACGTGCTGGCGGGATGGGCAGCAGGGGGGCAGGCTGGATGGATGCTTCTGCAGCACCCTGCCAGCCAAAAGAGCATGGGAGTGTCCACATGCGCCCTCCCCTCCGTGCCTCATTTTCATTCTCCATGGCTTCCTGCACAACTCTGATGGAGGTTTTCAGGCCCATTTTGGGCCCACTTTTTCACTCCTGATATAAACAATCCAATATAGGTGTAACTGAACTCTATGATTTTATCATTATTTTCTTTGAAGATATTTCGCTTCTCATTCAAGAAACTTCTTCAACTCTCTGAAGAAGATGAAGAGCTGAAGAAGCTTCTTGGATGAGAAGTGAAATGTCTTCAAAGAAAAACAAAAAAGTTTAGTTGCATCTTGAAAAGCACCTTTGGGATTGAATCCAATGGGCCACATTTAATATTATTGTTTTGATAGTTGATATAAAACATGAATGTATCACATAATAAATTAATTGGTTAGAAAATCCACTAAGTTACTCAATCTTTTACCTCTACAGGATTTTCCATCATCTTGGAGGATATAGCCACGTGGACATGAACATTGGTAGCTTCCTTCAGTATTCTTGCAGATAAAATTACAGGGTTTGGGAGACTGGGAGCATTCATCAAGATCTAATTACAGAATAATTCATATTCAAGATTAATTTATTCCATAGCATTGGATCCAAAATAAAACTAGAGGACAATGCCTAATAGACTAAAATTTATTTAAAAAAACATGTTTAAATAAGGTTAAAGACAAGATTCATCATAATAAAAAAGGCCAATCAACCTGATAGGCAATAAGAATTTTGAAATTCTCATTTAGTAATGGAAAAAGTTCCAACTCAATTCAGAGTTCAGCATTTGCAATCAAATTTGTAAAATGATTGAGAAAAAATATTTCAAGAAAGTTTAAACTCACAATATCAAATTTACAGTTCATATAGGAAGCTATGTAAGTTTCAGTCTCAAATTCTCACATGATAAACCACAGTGATATTACTACTTTCCAATCTTCATAAAAATATTTCCAAAGGCACTGGAAGAAAATACTACTTTGCTTAAAATAATTTATGACATTAATCTCACTTCCCAATTCCAAGCTTTGGAACTCTACAGAACAAGAACACTATTTTTGATCACAATACAGGGACTATGTTAAAAAGCGTTAAGTTACTATTCCTATTGACATGAGACAGTCTTGAATCAGGAATATAATTGAAGGGAACCTTCTATATTTGATGAAAAAGTAAATACAGAGCATGAGGCTTTATAGCACAATATTTTAAATCACAAAATGCAAAATGTAACAAGTTATAATATAGATATAATAATAAACTATAATATAGAAGTAACTATAAAGGCTATAACTTACCCACACAAGAAGTACCACTTATATCAGTAGTATAGCCAACTTTGCAAAAACATCTGAAGGAACCCATGGTGTTTATGCATTGGCCATGTCTGCATAAATTTGGCATGACCTTACACTCATCAATATCTATGGAATAAAAAATAAGAATTATTTTTTTATTTTGGCATGTAATTGCTTGCAGTTAATGAAATACATGCCATTAAAAATACAAATTAATGATATAGTCATATCCCTATGAGTTTTTTGTATGTATCAAAGCATAATACCTTTCTGTCTATGGACAAAATGATTCATCAGCAGAGAAGCAAGCATTATTTAGGCAGACTGAAAATGAGGGTGTTAAGATTTAAAAAGCTACTGAAAAAAATCAGGATAATTTTTTAAATAAATGAGAACCCCTGCAGCATCTTCCTTTTCCCCAAACCACAGCAGAACTTTGCTACTTCTGTCTCACTCATAGCCAACATAGATTATCCCAAATTTCACTTTATAGTATTTCAATATGATGCCTACTAGTTTTAATCACAACAGTTAGTATCAATTGTTTCAATGTTACTACAATATTAAAATTTGGTAGAGAAATGCAAAAGAAGTGCCAATTTTTGAATGGTGCACTTCTATACAGAAACAGCATGTTGTCTTGAGATTGGGAAGATTGGACAATTTATTAACAATGAATTTTCTGGCAGTTTATCAATGAATAATCTCTATAATATAAATCAATAGAAATAATCCATTTTAATTATTAACTGCATTGGAAAATTTCACGAATGTGAAATTGTTTGCTAAGCAATGTAGCTAAAGTACACCACAATATTCTTCTATTTTCAAAATCAAGATATCCTTAGGGATACTAAGGCAATATTATACATCTTCATCTTCCTACCACCCTATAGATAGAAAAAGGAAACTTGTCTGAAGATTCCATGAAGAATACCTGTCCCATCAGTGGTGTATCCTGGACCATGTGGACACAGCTTCTTGTACTGAGTTGTTACTAAGAGTGGGCAAATCTCACACTGATTGCCCCACCCCCTTCCACCATCACAACAGCATTCTGATTTGGTGACAAGATTACGGCTACTGGAAGCCATTTGACACATTGTCTGCAAGACTTCAGCAAAGCAGAAACCTTGTCGGTTGTCTGTGTAATGAGTGTGGAGAAATAACATACACATTTAAGTAAGGAGCATTTCATTCTGTTAAAATAATTTCTCATTTTTCAGTCACGATCCCTAGAGTAACCATATTTTGGAAAACATATATTTTCATAAAAACAGCATCTAAATATACATTTCATGAAATAAAATGAAGATTTTTAGCTATGATAACAATTTAACACTTCACATATAATAACTTTTAACTCAAAACATTTGATTGTTTATTTCAAAACATTTGATAATTTATCTCTCTTACATCAAAGTGATTTTAAAAAATGATTGTAGCATCCTAATAATAATAATAAAGTTAGTAAAGATTGATTTTTGTGAAAAAAAACAACTACTCTATTTTATGTGGCAAACAAGGTATCTTTATTCTTGTCAGAAGCACCTACAAACTATAAACAAACAGAAATAGAAATTAAGGAATAAAAATTTACTTGCCAATGCATTCAGTTCCAGATGGGCTTGACTGGAAACCTTCATTACACTCACATATGTAACTTCCAATAATGTTTATACAACGACCATTTTCACAGATACCAGGCTTACTGTGGCATTCATTTTCATCTTGATCACAAGAAAACAAACAAAAAATGAAATAACACAAAAGCAAAAAGAGTAACAGTAATTCCCACAATTCAAAATGAAAGCTACACTTCTGATGATAGCCGATTAAAAAAAAATTCAATGCTAAAAAGTCTAACCTCAAAAGACAGTCATATTAAGTGTAAAAAAAATTGATATGATTTTAATTCTTAGAAAGCTTGCATTTCTAAAAAACATTTCAATGAGAGCAGTGGTGAAGGAGAGATATATAACAATTACTGCATGATAGGGATATGCATCTTGCACTCCCTTCCCATTAATTGTAAGCCGCCCTGAGTCCCCTCAGGGAAAAGGGCGGCCTATAAATGTCAAATAAATGACTAAAAAAAAAAAAAATCTGCCTTGGTACAAATATGTGTAAAATTGCTGAAAAACTTAAATGGTAAATAGTCGGAGACTAGAAGGAAAGTATGCACTTATTTGAATAACTATTTGAAGCTTTAGCTGGATTGAACAAAGAAAATAATATAAAAAGATGTAATTTCTAATGAACAAAAATATTTTAAAACTCTTATTTCATGATTGACAATTCTTCATGATATTTATAGCTATACATTAAAAGTAATGTATTTTTCATATTGCAAAATTTTCAGGTTTATTTTTTCCAGGTGTCTTAAACTATAAAGATACAAATCTACTAAGAGCTGATAAAATATGCCGGTAGTTTGTTTGTTTTCTAGCAACACTACCTTGATAATGCAATTACTATTCATTGTCACATGACAATTTATAATGACTCAATACATTCTAACCATAATATATGTAAGCCTTTTATTATAAGAGTCCTTTGTGAAATATAGATTATTTATTTTTGCAATCCTAAATTGACTTGGCAATGTTCTCCCTAGTAGATGTGGGAACTAAAATGTCAGAGGTTGCCAGGCAGAATTATAGATAGTCTTGGCATGAAGCTCTGTATCAAGGTGTTCAGTTATACCTCTTAACTCGTTAGGGTCTGGCCTTAGTTTCTGGAATGTGGAAGGTAATACATCTGTGTATTACCTGTAGAAGTCCTGTTAGCAGCTACTGCCTATGAACAAGCCTTTTTTGTATTACAAACCTTATTTGGATTCTATAGCTGCTTCTCTGACAATTGTATACAATTATAATGCCTAGCAATAACATACACAATAAGAATGAATTATTAAATCAAATAGTTTGCTTTTAATTTAATTACAGAGAAAAAAGTAAAGTACCTAGTTTCGGTACCTACCAATACAACCTTCACCATCTGGTCTTCGAGTCATTCCAGGGGGACATATGCACATGAAGGTTCCAATCAGATTTTTGCACATCATGCCTCTTGATTCACAATCATGTAGACCCTCTGCACATTCATCGAGATCTTTTCAGAAAACAAAATAATATAAATGGTGGACAAACATACCTATCTTTTCTTAATACCAGAGTTAATTGGAAATTGAATGGCATCCCAATTCTTGTAACCTTATCAAAAGCCAAACTGAAATATAATGCAGCAATTCAGTAATTTATGAGGGACAATATTTTTAATTAACACCAAATAATTCAATGTTTTATTATACATTCTGCATACATTCTTTAATGCTCAGTTCCATCTTTCATACATTATCGCAATAGCCTTCTCTTCTATAGTACATTGTCATGCTTCAGTTTCAGAAACTTTACAGAATACATTGTTCTATAAATTGTATTGGCAAAAGTGTTAACATGCTAAAGAGATCCTTACCTTTGCACATTTTCTGGTCCTCTCTTAATTCATATCCCACTGGACAAGTGCATTCATAAAAACCATACGTATTTATACAGCGAAAAGCACAAAGCAAAGGATTTTGTGCACATTCATTTATATCTAAGCAAGACAAACAGAATAATACACTTGCATTTAATAGTATACTTATACTTTATAATTAATCCTTTTTTCACATTTGTTAATGCTGTGGGTGGTGCAGTTACATGTGGATAAGAATTAATGAAGTTCTTTCTCAACAAACAAAATTTAGTGTACTGGTCATACATGACTTGTTTTATTCCTAAAATAATTAATAAATACCTAAAATAATTATCATTATTATTATCCAACAATATTTAAAACAATAAAACATAATTAGAACAAATAAATAGTAGGGAAAGAGATGTTACCAAGGTCGTAAAATGAGGACCCAGATTGTTGGGGGCAATAAGCTGACTTTCTAAATCGATTAGAGAGGGCTGTAAAACACTGTGAAGCAGTATATAAGTCTAAGTGCTATTCTATTAATAATGGAAACATCTCACTAGTTCACCAGTGTGCAGAGGTCCCTAGGCCTCAATGCATGGAATGCAGGAATGCATAGACATGAGATTCACTGCTGCTGTTTGTGTTTTTGCTATATTGTGGGGGTTCTGGCCATCTTAAAGCTGAACTGATTAATTTCAGGCAATTAACAATGCAATTAATTGAAAACTTGCTACAGTCCTACCATCTTATTTTTCTCTTAAATATACCGTATTTTTCAGAGTATAAGACACTCCTTTTTTTCCTCAAAAAAGAGGCTGAAAATCTGGGTGCCCCTTATACATCAAATACAGCATTTTTTGCCAACCCTTTCACCAAAATGGCTGTGCAGAGCCTTATGAAAACTTTCAGAGAACACTTGGGAGCTGGGAGGGCAGAAATGAGCAAAAAATGGGCTGTTTTTTGCCCCCCCCCCCCCAGCAGCCTCCATAAGGCTATGCATGCAATTTTTTTTGATAAAAAACAGGCCCGTTTTCACGAAAAACGGACGATTTTTTGTTAGCGCCCCCCCCCCGGAGCACTCTGTAAGCTCCCCCAAGGTTATTCATGCCTTTTATTTGAAAAAAACAGGCTCATTTTCATGGAAAATGGGCCGGTTTTTGGAGGTTTTCAGAGTGCAAAAACTTTTTTTTCCTTTTGGAAAGCTCTTTTACTGATGAGAATTACATTGATCAAGTGCTATGCCAGCAGAAACAAAATCTTAAGGTTTGTCAGTGATTTCCTTCTCCAGCACATGGATAAATACACCTGGAAACATCTACCTACCTACCTACTCTCTTTCCCTCTCCCTACCTACCTACTGTATTTCTCTCTATCCCTTTATCTACCTACCTACTACTTTCTCTCTCCCTACCTATCTACTGTATTTCTCTCTCTCTTTCTATTTCTCTCTATCACTCTATCTACCTATCTACCTACATACAAACTCTCTCTCCCTACCTATTGTATTTCTCTCTCTCTCTCTATCCCTTTATTTACCTACTTACTCTCTCTCCCTACCTATCTACTGTATTTCTCTCTTTCTATTTCTCTCTATCACTCTATCTATCTACCTACCTACCTACACACACACTCTCTCTCCCTATCTACGTACTGTATTTCTCTCTCCCTCTCTCTATCCCTCTACCTACTTACTACCTACCTACCTACCTACTCTCTCTCCTACCTACCTACTGTATCTCTCTCTCTCTTTCTCTATCCCTTTATCTACCTCCCTCCCTCCCTCCCTCCCTACCTACCTACCTACCTACCTACCTTCCTACTATATTTCTCTTTCTTTTTCTCCCTCTCTATCCGTCTATCTACCTACCTACTTTTTTTTTAATTTGCCTCTTCAAAACCTTGGTGCATCTTATATTTTGGTACATGGTATACGCCGAAAAATATGGTAAGTACCCAGAACAGGCTAGCTGTTGAAATACACTCTTCATTTCAGAGGTGGGTTGCTCCCAGTTTGGCTGAACCGGTAGTGGCGGCGGTGGGAGGCTCTGCCCACCTGCTTCTGCGTATGTGCAGAAGCATTGCATGCATGCACAAGCATGCACATGAGCATGAGTGAATGGTAGTAAACCAGTTAGCAACCCACCACTGCTTCAGTTGTATAAAAAATATACTGTAACTTACCTTCACAATTCATCATTGGCCCAGGTTCAAATCCATCCAGGCAATTGCACTCAAAACTACCAATCACATTGGAACATGTGCCATTTCCACAAGGATTACCAATGGAACATTCATCAGTATCTAAAATATAACAGGCCAAACAAGTATTTTAAAACTGAAATTCAAGCCAAATTTATAAACTTTAATGGTTATAAAACATGTAGTATATAAACAACATGCAATAAAGAATCAGCACACACCTACACATTGCACTCCAGTGTAGTCAAGGTTGTAGCCCAAGGGACATTCACAACGGAATGATCCATCAGTGTTTATGCAGTGTCCATTAGAACAAATACCAGGATTCTCCAGACATTCATTGACATCTAAAGGAAAAAGTTATGCCAAATCTTTATTCTTTATTAAGATTTCGGTGTACCATTATTGAATAATAGAATATCAGTTTCTTCTGTTAAAAACAGTGAGTAAAAAACAGAAAAAGCTTTAACACACCACAGGTTTAAATGCAATATCTGCTATCACTTTCATTAAAATTTTATTCATAAAATAATGTCAAGAGCATACAAGAATATCCTTTCAGGGATTCACCAGATTTATTCTCATTACATATTGTTGAAAATGTTTTTAATTTGACTGGAAATATTTTTAATTTGACTGGATGCTAGCATAGGATGTACATGTGATTAGCTAACTTTTGATGCATTATTTTTATAGGTTTATATTTTAAAATGTGAAGTGCTAACTGTTTAGCATTTTGGTATCAACATGTTAACTAGTGCAATGATTTATATATTTAAGTATTTATTACATTTGTTTTTATATATTTTATTAGAATTTAATTTTTTATTAAGCAACTTTAATTTTTAATACAATAAATGGGATATAACAATTTATTTATTAATGATATAAACCAGCATTAACTATAATAATATTAAACAATATTGTACTAAAGATAAAGGTAAAGGTTCCCCTGCACATGTGTACTAGTTGTTCCCGACTCTAGGGGGCGATGCTCATCTCCGTTCCCAAGCCGAAGAGCCAGCGCTGTCTGAATATTTCTTTGCGGTCATGTGGCCGGCATGAATAAGCGCCGAAGGCGCATGGAGCGCTATTACCTTCCCACCAAAGGTGGTTCCTATTTTTCTACTTGCATTTTTATATGCTTTCGAACTGCTAGGTTGGCAGAAGCTGCGACAAGTAACGAGAACCCACTCTATTACGCAGCACCAAGGATTCGAACTGCTGACTTTCTGATCGACAAGTTCAGCATCTTAGCCACTGAGCCACCGGGTCCCTTACCTTATGATAATTCTACACTTAGAGGCAGCAAAGCTTTCTTGAAATAAAATGTATATTCACTTCCCTTAGTTAAGTATATAAATCCTTTTTTAAAAGAAATCCATCCTATACACAATTTCTTTTATTATATAAAACAAGAGTGATATTTAGTCGCGTGGTAATGAGGAAATTTGTACCTTCTCTTGTATCATCTATTCCAGGTATTGTTCCATGGCCAAATGGACACAGATCCTGAAAAGCAACTGTTAAAAGAAAATTGTTGAAATACCACTACTAGGGAGACAATATACAAAGCAATATATTAAACTCGCTATTGTAATTTAAATAGCATTTTCAACACATTCTATCAAGGAAATTTTCCAATTACTCTTGTATAAGGAATTCAGCTAAGCGAAGAGTACGTCCAAAATGTAATCAGTAATTATAGCTGTAATACTGCTCAGCATCTAGTATAAGATGATAATAAAAACAGATGAAGAAAGTTTTTCTATGATAGGTTCCAACTCATGTTTTTCTACTTCCAATTTCATATGATGACTTGATGAGTGAGATCCCATATTTTAATTTAGGATGTGGTTTTTTAAATGGAGACACTATGTATTGGCTTCAGGTTTCGTTTTCTGCTTTTCTTGAAAAGCTTTGCAAAGTTTTTACCTTCTTCTTCCTTAGGACACAGTTCACATGGATCACCCCAACCTTCTCCTGGCATCTTGCTGCAACAACATTTTGCCTTGGTGGTATTAGATGCTTTTGGCACAGAGCACTTCCCATTCTCAAAGTTAGTGAAACAGAAGCTCTGTCGAGTATCTGAGAGAAATCAAAAGTCATACCACTGTAATTAATTCCACATTAAGAATGAATTAATCCAGGCTTTTTACTTGGAAATATTCCAACATAGACATTCCTCATCAGTAGGAAATAGTAATTCGCCATACATTGCCATGTTTTTGATTAAGCCTTAGTGTTGATTACCAACAATAATTTGTATTAATCACAATTCACTACAGTCCTACTTAGGATTAATTAGTACATGTTTAATTAGCAACAATTACTTTTATGTTCAATCCTATATCATGAAGTTAGTTGAGATTTCTTTTAAATGTTTATTTGCTTATTTTTTTTAAAAAAAGGCATGTAGCAATAGCAATAGCAATAGCAGTTAAACTTATATACCGCTTCATAGGGCTTTCAGCCCTCTCTAAGCGGTTTACAGAGTCAGCATATTGCCCCCACAGTCTGGGTCCTCATTTCACCCACCTCGGAAGGATGGAATGCTGAGTCAACCTTGAGCCGGTGAGATTAGAATCGCTGAACTGCAGATAACAGTCAGCTGAAGTGGCCTAACCACTGCGCCACCTTGGCTCTACAGCTATACAGCTGAATTTGTTACATTTACTCTTCATATCTACAAAATTTGTTATATTAAATGATCCTTTTAACTATTCTGACAAAATTTTAAAGGGAAAGGGGAGATAGAAATGGTTTTATTCAATAAAAAACATGATTCCATATTGTTGTTAATTTAATCACTCATAATATTTGACTTCATTATTATTATCTGTTATAACAATTATACTTACCAAAACATCTCCTGCCATTGTCAGATATTACAAAACCTTGAGGGCAGATGCACTGAAATCCTCCTGGAGTATTAGTGCAGGATCCAAACAGGCAAATGTTAGGATCCTCATTACATTCATCAATATCTGAAAATATAATTAAAACAATAAATATTTTCTATTGCAATCAGTTGAACCAGAGAATGGACAGAAAATGTTGTAATTCTCAAGGTATCATATGTTAAAGAAATTTTAAAATCACATGTATCTTAGATTAAAAACATTTTGTTTTTATTAGTTTGCTTCAGATATGGTTTTGATAAATAATTAGCAAAGACACTTTTTTCTGAATATAAAAATAGCATCCATCTCAATTTTTTTTTAAAAATGCAGGTACTGCATTCAAGAGGAAAATTTGTTCATAGAAAACAATGCATAAGTTTATAAAATATATAGTTACAATCTCCTGAATTCCAAAAAGTCACATAAAGAAACAGGCCACCTATAACTAATGTGAATATAGACCAAATAGGAAATTTATGATGATCCAAGGCTTGACTACAATTTTCATAAGATTTATTCAGCATGGGAACAACATCTGAAAGATCACAAAGATCAGTATGTTTCTAGTACCACAGAACAATCACACACCCACACCCACACACACCTCTGGTGTGTGTGTGTGTGTGTGTGTGTGTGTGTATAGCGCAATACTTAAATTTTATTTCCATAAACAGTTTTGTTACCATGCAAATCATCTCCAGAAAGAAAAGGCAGCCTTACCAATGCAGCTTTCACTTTTTACTTCATATCCTGATGGGCAGATACATCTGAATGATCCTTCCAAATTTTGACATGTCCCAGGAAAGCATGAGCCAGGAAGCACTACACACTCATTAATATCTAAATAGAATGGAGGGGGAAAACATGGCAATTTAAGGATTCTGAGTTGAATTCATTTCTTACATTTATATTCTGTCTGGCATCCTAGAGAGCAAGATTCATTATTTATCCATAACAGAAGCAGGCATAGATCCAACTGACAGACTGTCTCATAATCACTTAATGACTCTCATGAATAAATTTAATTTCTACTGATAGTTCAGTAGTTTGATTACTGCACCATAAAGTATACAAACATAATAGGCAAACATTGTATACAAATTCTATGAACTTCCCTCAATTACTATCACTACTTTTCTGGATTCTTTTCTAGTAAGTTCATCTATATAGAACTGCTATCTTCAAGAAAGTGTCATGGCTGAAAGAACTGTTAAATCTGCAGATGAAAAAATTACATCTAATGTTAAAATCAGCCCCTGCAGATAGTGCATAATCAAATCTCTTGCATGGAAATTTAATGGTATATTTATCCTATAGAAATTAAGCTACTTCAGATCTGCATCCCAAATAGCTAAATGTTAGGCAGCCAATAAATTTAAATACATAAATAAAATAATTACAAGTTCTATGAGTGGTGCCTAAAAATTCAGAGGAATATTGTAAAATATTTGTAAAAGTATATTCCACAATGTCCAGTGCAGCTGATTAAATGTGCATTACATTGTAGTAGCATAGAGCTCTCAATAACTGCTTTTATACATACCAATACAGTTTTTGCCATCTGGAGTAAGTTCATAACCTTCATTACATAAACATTTGAAAGAACCAATTTCATTAAAGCATCTTCCATTTCTGCACACCTGCCCAAAGAAGGAACTGCACTCATCAATATCTATAAACAAGAAAAAGTTAAGTATTTCTCACGAGCTCAATACAAGGACATGCATATATAGGCAGAGTTACCATTTTAAGGTATGAACACAGCTAATGGATAAAATCATAGAAATTGCACAACAGAGCTGTAAGGAAAGAGGTATATTTTTATCCTTGCATATAAAAAAATAATATCTCAAGCACTTTAAGGTATATGGAATTTTTAAGAATAGATATTACTAGACAGATCTTTATTTTTTTAATATTTCATTCATCAAAGAAATCTATTCAGAAAGACCAGAAATATTTGCATATACATTTTGATTTTAATCTTTAGTGCATATACAAAAGCCAATATGGCTGCCACTGTCAACCCTGAAGCTGATCTGACTGGAGCCATATTGGAGCTTCAGTGCTGCCCGACTGGAGCTGAGGGAAAGGGAGAGGGGATTAGAAATAGCGGGTGTTGTGTAGCTAAAATAAAATATTTTCTCTTGAGAACCAAGGACATTCTCATACCTGGACCGAGGAAGAAGGAGTGAGGTCACTAGACAACCAGACAGCAACTTGATCAGACCATGTGGCTAACTGTTTGGGGTTGTGGGAAAACTTTCTCTTTTAATTAGGTGAAACCCGCGGGGACCTTCAGTGTTCTTTTTTACCAGATTTGTGCCAATATGATATTTCCAATAAAGCTATTCTTTGAGGAATTCATCTGCCTCTGGGTTTTGCTAGGACTATTACATGGACTATTACACTTTATGGCAGAACTACAAAGAGAGGCTTCTTTGATTAGGTCATTGACTAAAGCAAAGAAATCATTCAAGTCTTTGCACATGACCTAATAACTCGTACCAGCATCAGGTATGTTATCCAAGAAAATTCTAGGCACAGGAAGAGTTAAACTGAGTTGAAACGGTCCATTCATATTCACTTATTGGATAGTGAAAAATGAGAAGAGTGTTTCAGTTTAGCAGAGGAAAGAAAATCTTCCAATTTTGAGGAGGGAGGCATTGCCTGGGCAAATGGATAGCAGCACTATTATACTCTGGTTGATATTTTGACTGCTGGCTGGGAATAAGCTGGAGGCATATAGCATCAAATCAGAGGATAAGCACAATCACCTTGCCTAACTGGCTGGCACACCAACAAACCAAGACATTTTAGTTTGACAGTTATATTAAATAGATGCAACAGAGACAGGGCCCCACTGGCAATGGGGAGTACAAATATAGTGTATGTTGATATATGAAAAAGAGGTTAATACTGTAACTCAATAGTCGAGATAGTACTCTGTGGAATTGGAATCGTATAATATAGATGCCAGAATAGAAGTGCAACCATGTAATTCTACTCTCTGAAACCATACACGGTAAAACATCACAATCTCCACCACAGAAATGATTCCAAAGATTTTGTGCTTAGTGCTAAAAGTTCAAGCAGGATCAGAACTGCACTCCTTCTATTTCTCTCCAACAAAAGGAAATCTATCAGGGCAATTAGGCCAATTTTATTTTCAAATCTGTCTGAATACAGACTGCAACTGCTTAGCAACCACATTCTTGGGTAATTTCTCCCCACTAAAGTAGACTTATTTGTATTTAATTAAAAGTAAAACTCCAAATCCAGAAAAAAAACATTTTTGGAAAGGAATAGAATATTTGTTTTTTCAAGTGTAAGCCAACTGGAGATCTTCTGTGTTTGACCTACATGAGTTTGACTCATAAGAAGTTTTGGTAGAATGTCCTCATATTATCTATCATTCTTATCAAGAGCTTTGTTCGACTACAAACTGGTAGAATTAAAATATAACGATAGGCCACGTAAAACAACAACGAAGAAATAACTGAGAAATGACAACCCTAATTTTTGCAAATTCTGATTACCGTATTTTTCAGAGTGTAAGACGCACCAAGGTTTTGAAGAGGCAAATTTTTAAAAAAGGTTTTGTATTCTGCAAACCTCCCAAAAACAGCCCTTTTTTGTGAAACTCCCCCTAAAAAAAGGGCATGAATAGCCTTTAGGGGGCTTGCAGAGTGCTCCTGGGGGGTGCCCCCCAAAATGAGCAAAAACAGACCCTTTTTTGTCAAAAGAAATTGCATTCATAGTCTTTAGGAGGCTTATAGAGTACTACTGGAAGCTGGGGGGGGGGGAGAATTGAGCAAAAAACGACCCACTTTTCACTCATTTCTGCCTTCCCAAACCCCAGGAGCTCTCTGAAAGCCTTCTACAGGCTCTGGACGGCCATTTTGGTGAAGGGGTGGGGTTTCAGGATGCATAAAATGCTGTGTTCAGTGTATAAGATGCACCCAGATTTATAGCCTCTTTTTAAAGGGAAAAAGGTGCATCTTATGCTCCGAAAAATATGGTTGTTAAAAGTATATTTATAATTACACTGCTCAATAAAATTTATGAAATTGAAAGATTATCGTAGTATTTTCTGATAAATATTATGGCATTTCCATGTTTCTCTTTGATAGTAATATATCATCACTTTTTCTAAATGATATGTACTATTTATTCATTCTCTTACCCATACAGTCATTATTATGAGTTAGCTCAAATCCTGGATAGCACAGGCAGTTATATGATCCAACTGTATTTTTACAAGTTCCATTCCCACAAGGATGTCTTTCACATTCATCTACATCTAGAGATAGAAAACATTAATACCAAACAATTATTCACAATACAATTAATTTTCTGTTACTTTATGTGTTTTACACATAAGAGCTCATATGGCTCTCAGAAAATTATTCTGGGCAGCTTACAGATCTCATTACAGTTTTGGGTTAAAAATTAATAAAAGAACAAAACTATAGCAACAATCATCATTATCATAATTTGTCATATATCTATGCTCATTAATATAACAAGTATCTTACATCTCAGGAGCAACTAAAAAACCACCCATCCCCAAAGGTCTTGCATAACATCCACACTTTAAATACTATTCAGAAAAAGTAGCTATCAAGGAAGGCATCCTTATTTCCATGCAGTCATGAAGCTGATAGTCACATTCTCTATGAATGGGGCTCACAGCAAGACTTCCCTGCTCAGTCTTATTGGACAAGCAAATTCCACTGAGATAAGGTGGCCCTACAGATATCCAAGTCCTCAGCCATCAAGACTTTAAGTTTGAACTGGATCTCCCTAGTATTATGAGTCTGTAGGGCTATAGATGTTTAATACAATGCCTTGCTACAATGCTTTGAACTTACAGCAATAGCAGTTAGACTTATATACCGCTTCATAGGGCTTTCAGCCCTCTCTAAGCGGTTTACATAGTCAGCATATTGCCCCCAACAACAATCCG